TCCCTCTCTCCCTCTCTCTCTCCCTCTCTCTCTCTCCTGGGAAGTAAAAACAAGGAAGTGTAAACAGTGACCTGATGAAAATGATGTAGAACAACTCAGAGTCAACACATATCACTGTTGGGTTCATTACACACACACACACACACACACACACACACACACACACACACACACACACACACACACTCACCACTGACCTGGTCTGTGAGTCTGCGACTGTGTGACTGTGTGTCTGTGTCTGTGAGTCTGTGCGTCTGATTCTGTGTGTCCGTGAGTGTCTGTGAGTCTGCAACTGTGACTGTGTGTCTGTGTCTGTGAGTCTGTGCGTCTGAGTCTGTGTGTCTGTGAGTCTGTGAGTCTGAGTCTGTGTGTCTGTGACTGAGTCTGTGTCTGAGAGTCTGTGTGTCCATGAGTCTGTGCGTCTGTGAGTGTGAGTCTGTGTGTCTGCAACTGTGTGACTGTGAGTCTGTGGGTCTGTGACTGAGTCTGTGTGTCTGAGAGTCTGTGTGTCTGTGACTGTGAGTCTGTGGGTCTGTGACTGAGTCTGTGTGTCTGAGAGTCTGTGTGTCTGTGAGTGTGAGTCTGTGCATCTGTGAGTGTGAGTCTGTGTGTCTGCGACTGTATGACTGAGTGAGTCTGTGAGTCTGTGGGTCTGTGACCGAGTCTGTGTCTGAGAGTCTGTGTGTCCGTGAGTCTGTGCATCTGCGACTGTGTGACTGTCTGTGTCTGTGAGTCTGTGTGTCTGAGTCTGTGTGTCTGTGACTGAGTCTGTGTCTGAGAGTCTGTGTGTCCGTGAGTCTGTGCGTCTGTGAGTGTGAGTCTGTGTGTCTGCAACTGTGTGACTGTGAGTTTGTGGGTCTGTGACTGAGTCTGTGTGTCTGAGAGTCTGTGTGTCTGTGACTGTGAGTCTGTGGGTCTGTGACTGAGTCTGTGTGTCTGAGAGTCTGTGTGTCTGTGAGTGTGAGTCTGTGCATCTGTGAGTGTGAGTCTGTGTGTCTGCGACTGTATGACTGAGTGAGTCTGTGAGTCTGTGGGTCTGTGACCGAGTCTGTGTCTGAGAGTCTGTGTGTCCGTGAGTCTGTGCATCTGCGACTGTGTGACTGTCTGTGTCTGTGAGTCTGTGTGTCTGAGTCTGTGTGTCTGTGACTGAGTCTGTGTCTGAGAGTCTGTGTGTCCGTGAGTCTGTGCGTCTGTGAGTGTGAGTCTGTGTGTCTGCAACTGTGTGACTGTGAGTTTGTGGGTCTGTGACTGAGTCTGTGTGTCTGAGAGTCTGTGTGTCTGTGACTGTGAGTCTGTGGGTCTGTGACTGAGTCTGTGTGTCTGAGAGTCTGTGTGTCTGAGCAGGAAGCTGCTGTCAGAACTGTTTGTTTCCACACAAACCACTTCCTCTGACTGCTCTGAAGCTACGACTGCCGCCATGGATGGATCATCAGGCCCGGGCCCCTCTTGTCACGTTGCATCTTTGTGGTCGTGTGATGCCTCTGTCTGGTTGTTTTGCATCTTTGTGGTTGTGTCTCTTACAGCTGGTTTCTGTCTGTTTTGTGATTGTTTTAACTTTCCGAGAAGTGAGTTGCTCATTCAGAAACCCATACATGGCTGCTGCCACACTCACAGCACTGTGCCTGCAATGCATCATGGGACTTGTAGTCCAGTTCAGGTGAGCACTGAAGCAGCGGCTCCTAAAGTGAGTTACATTCAGCTGAGAAGGCTGATGTTCATACAGATGTGTTTCTCTGAAGATGCAGCTGATGTCTGAGGGTGACTCATGTCTCTGCGCACACACACCGCATTTCTCAGTGCAACACACACACACACACACTCAGAAATACCTGAGCCAGTTCAGACCTGAGGATGTCAACAGACAGACAGAGTCTGAGCAACATGTCAAAACCTGGTCCATTCACCTGGGTGCTGCTGTGCGCGTGCACTCCCCCACCACACACACACACCACACACAGTGCCTCTTCACAGTACTGCCACACTTCAGCGTCTGTACTTGTACTGCATGTGTGACTCAGGTACGTGTTCAGTCAAACATCATGTGTGAAAACTGAACAGTACGACAAGTATTAACAAGTACAAATTACATACCAGCAGTAGTATCAAGAGTACAAATACTACAGCAACTCAAGTACTGAGAGAAGAAGTAGCAAGAGCAGCATGTAGTAGGAACAGCAGTACTAAAAACAGTAGTTAAAGCTGCAGTAACTTTAGCAGTGGCAGTATTAGTAGTAGTAGTAGTAGTAGAAGCACTGGTAAGTCCAGCAGTACTAAAAACAGTAGTAGTACCAATAAAAAGTAGTAGTATTATCTGCAGTAGCTGTACAGAAGTTGCAGTAGTAGCAGCTGCAGTTTTAGTATGTTTAGGAGTAGAAAACAACACTAGCATTGTGGTGTGCACTTATATCGTATATCTGCAGCAGCACTGAGACACGGAGCGATGTGATTGGATGATTCTCTGCTTTACGTGTGTGTGTGTGTCTGTGTGGTGTTGTATCTCTGTGAGGACCAGTCTCAGCACTGTCTTGTGTTACCGAGCGTGTTGAGGTGAAGATGAGGGCTCAGCTCCGACAGGTACCGTGTGTTTACAGTACACTTGTAAAACCTGGTCTTCGAGGACTGGGCAGGGCTGTGACCTTTGACCCCTGGGAGGGTTAGGGTTAGAATGTCAAACATACAGCAGCAACAGTCGACTCTGAGGCGTGAGGGAGAAAAGGTGTGGTGCGTCAGCCTGACGAGTTCATACAAGCCACCACTGACAGTATGCATACCCCAGGGGCACACACACACATGCACTAGCATCACACACATGCATGTTTGTCTTCATCCCTGGTGGGGACCTTACATTGACTTCCATTAATTTCCTGGAGACTTTCCCTAACCTTAACCATAGCCACTACCACAGTTCACCTTAAACTCTCTAAAGAGGCCCCACAGTGTGAGCCACAGCGTGAGTCACACCCAAGCAGCAACTTCCCCTGAAAAATTAAGCCAGTAAGAAGGCACCAAATCCTGCAGTTCCTCAAGCAGCCACCAGAGGCTGGCTCCAAAAGGGAGTCAGTTGCCACAGACCCCATGTTTACAGCTTGGTAGAAAATACTGTTTTGGTCTCTATAGCGAATGTCTCCTTCCACGACACCTGTACTGGGGGTGAATTTTCTATAAGTCACCCTTTTATTTTATATTGAGAATAAAAGTTGTGCATAATTAAGGGCGTGGCCGTTTTGAGTGACAGGTGGGAGGGTCCCGCCACAGTTGGCGGGCTGCTAGCTGTCTAGAGAGCTCCACTCACACTCCGCCTCTTTGCCCATTTTTGGATTATCCATGGCAGGCAGAGTGACGCGCTGCCAACATGGGAGGGTTTGTCCATCTTTTATATACAGTCAGTGGTAAAACCAGGGGTGCACCTACACCTGCATCAGCATCACACACTCTGTTCTCTGTCTTTGGTCTTTGGTGACAGGAAACAGTAACAAACCAAACCTCGCCCACTTTTTGCTCAAATTGATACAGTTCTACAGAGGAATCATCCAGTCTGTTCTCTGCTCATCCATCACTGTCTGGTTTGGCTCAGCAACCAAACAGGACAAGTACAGACTTCAGTGGACAGTGAGGACTGTAGAAAAGGTCATTGGTGTGAGCCTGCCCTCCATGGAGGACCTGTACACCTCATGGGTCAAAAGGAGGGCAGAGAGGATCACTGCTGACCCCTCACACCCTGGATACAATCTGTTTGAACTCCTCCCCTCTGGACGGCGTTACAGGTCACTGTGCACTAAGACAACCAGGCACAGGGACAGTTTCTTCCCCCAGGCTGTCGCTCTGATGGACACTTAACCAATGACAGTATGACTGGACAATAACCCTCAGAGCAACACCTGTAAATATACCTGGTACAGATTATACAGACTCCTACAGGTCTCTAGTTCTTAAGTTCTCTGTTTTTATCCATATTTATCTCATTTCAATGAACATTCCTTTGTTGTCTGCATTGTTTACTGTCTGTTTATACTGTTTACTCTACATTGTTTGCACTGGTTGTTGATGTTAATACTGCTTATCTTTGTTATATTACAGCCTTATGCTGGTTTACTGTTTGCCCATTGAGAGCTGATGTACCAGAGTCTAATTCCTCGTGTGTCCAACACACCTGACCAATAAGCTGATTCTAAAACATTTTCAGTTTCAAGAACTTAGACAAATACTCAGACCTGCACCTTTCTGAAGTACCCAAGTACATGTACTGAAGCAGTGTACTTAAGTACTTGGAGGTATTTAGGCTTTACTACAACCTGAAAACAGATTATTTACTCAGAACTCTGTTTTCTACTTAGCTTGGACATACTCATACATTATCAGAACTACTTAGCTTGGACATACTCATACATTACCAGTGTTTGTTACTTTCTACTAGATTTCAGAGGTGAATACTGTACTTTTTATTGCACTACTACAA